CTTTTAAAATTGTCATTATTCCCTAAACAATACAGTATAACAATTACTTACATAGCATTTACATTGTATTAGAAGCATTTCTTTTTTGGCAGCTGGCTGGTTTGGGGATCCGAACCCTTGATGACCTTGGTGTTATCAGCACCATGCTCTCCCAGGTGAGCCACTGGCCAGCCCCTACATTGTATTAGGTATAAGCAATCTAGAGATGATTTAAAGTATATGTGAGAATGTGCTATAAATTATATGTAAATACTATGCCATTTATAACAGGGAGGTTGAGCATCACTGAACTCTGGTATCCATGGTAGGTCCTAGAACCAATACCCCCCAGAGATGGAGAAATGATTGTATATTAGTGCTGAAGCCTCTATGATATGAGGAAGCCTGAACCAGTCCTTAAAATAAATCATAAGTATTAGATATGACACCAACAGTGACAACTGACATAGAAAAAAAAATTGGATTTCATTGAAATTAAAAACTTTTGTGCTTTAGAGGACATGATCGGAAAGTGAAAAGTCCACCCAAGAATGAGAGAAAATATTTGCAAATTAGATATCTGATAAAGATATAATATCCAGAATACATAGAATACGTAAAGATTCAATAATATAAAGATAAATAACCCAAGTAAAAAATGGACAGAGAATCTACATAGATATTTCTCCACAGATATAAAAATGGCCAATAAGTATATGAATGATGCTTAACATCATTGGCCACAAAAAAATACAAATCAGAACCACAATGAGAATAAGATACTTCTTCACACCCCCTAGCTATAAATCAAAAAGACAGATAACAACAAGTGTTAGCAAGAACAAGGAGAAATTTGAACCCTTATACAACTGCTGGTAGGAAGGTAAAATGGAAAACATTCTGGTAAGGTTAAAAATAAGAGTTACCATATGATGCAGCAATTCCATTCCTAAGTATATACTAATAGAAATAAAAATACATGTCCACACAAAAACCTGTACATGAATGTTTATAACAGCATTATTCATTATTCATAATAGCCAAAAAGTAGAAATACCCCAATGTCCATCAACTGATGAGTGGATAAACAAAATCTGGTATATCCATACATTATTGGAATACTACACAGCAATAAAAAGGAATGTATTACTGATTCAGGTAACATCTCAGATGAACTTTGAAAACATTATGCTAAATGAAAGAAACTGGCAACAAAGGACCACATATTGTATGCAGAACAGGCAAATCTGTACAAACAGAAGGTGAATTAGTGATTGCCTAGGACTGGGTGGGATAGGGGATTGGAAGGTAAGGGGTATAGAATTTCATCATGGGGGAATGAAAATTTTCTAAAATTGATTGTGGTGATGGATGCAAAACTCTTGTGAATATACTAAAAGCCACTGGGCTGTATGCTTTAAAAAGATGAATTGTATGGTATGTGAACTCTATCTAAAGCTGTTTTCAAAACAGAAATGAAGTACTGATAAATGTTGTAACATGGATGAACCTTGAAAATACTATACTAAGTAAAAGATGCCAGTCATAAAAGACTACATGTTGTATTATTCCATTTACATGAAATTTTCACAATAGGCAAATCTATAGAGATAGAAAGTAGATTACTGGTTGCCTAAGGCCTAAGTTTGGAAGAAAATGGGGAGTTATTGTTAATAGGTAGGGTGATAAAAATGTTCTAGAACTGATTGTGATGATGGTTGTGCCACTCTGAATATGCACTAAAAACCACTGAACCGTACAATTTAAACAAATGAATGGTATGGTATGTCAATTACCTCTCAACAAAGTTGTTTTAAAAAAAGATCACATGGAGAGGCCCTGGAGACAGCAATGCCTGGCAGTCTCTAGCTGCCCCATTCCCCCCCCACCCAGCTCCAGCACCATCTGATAATAGCCAAATGAAAGATCCTAAGCCAGAATCATCCAGCTGAGAACCCTTCTCAAATTCCTAACCTACCGAAGCCATGAGAGATAAGTGCAGTTGTTTTAAAGCACTAAGTTTTGAGGTGATAAGTTACATGGCAATAAGTAACCAGAACAATAATATAAAAGAATGAGTAACTCAAGAAGTTACTAAAAGAGCTGTAAAATGCTAAAGAAGTATGTTAAATATGCTAAAGCAGAATTAAATAAAGACAAAAGTAAAAATTATTGAGAAAGAAAATAATGGTAGCACTATGAGATAAATCTCAGAGCTGTTTCTTTAGTAAAGAAAGAAGAAGGCAAACAGAGGAAAATGGTCACCTCATCAAACAAAAAAAGTGGGGGGGAACACAAGTACAAAAAATAGAAAAGAAAAATGGAGGAACCATAGATTAAGAGGAATAAAAAGAACTGGCTGTTTTGGGTAATTCAATTAAATATATTCAAAACCTCAAAAAAATAACAAAAAGAGTTCAGAAGTTTTCTTTAAGTCAGAATCATGTTTATAAAAAGTTTGTCGGCTCTCTCTGCTTCCACCACCTTGCAATGTGAGAGCCCTGGGTCACTGTTACCAGCACCAGATGGACTTTGGACTTCACACCCTCAGAAACTTTCTTCCCCTACAGAGATGCCTCCAAGTTTGCCCAGCACGCCTTCCGAACCTTCGACAAGAACGGGGAAGGCACCATTGACTTCCGAGAGTTCATCTGTGCTCTGTCCATCACCTCCAGGGGCAGCTTCGAGCAGAAGCTGAACTGGGCCTTCAACATGTACGACCTGGATGGCGCAAGAACGGGGAAGGCACCATTGACTTCCGAGAGTTCATCTGTGCTCTGTCCATCACCTCCACGGGCAGCTTCGAGCAGAAGCTGAACTGGGCCTTCAACATGTACGACCTGGATGGCAGTCTCTGGTAACACCATCTTCAATATTCTTTTCCCAAAGGCTATCTACAAAATGGTGGGCACTGTGATCATGATGAAAATGAACGAGGATGGCCTCACACCCGAGCAGCGAGTAGACAAGATTTTCAGCAAGATGGATAAGAACAAAGATGACCAGATTACACTGGATGAATTCAAAGAAGCTGCAAAGAGTGACCCTTCCATTGTATTACTTCTGCAGTGCGACATTCAGAAATGAGCTGATGTCAATGCTATGGACTGCAAAAACGTCTCAATGTTCCATTCAGTCTGCAGCTATTCACACAGACACACACACACACACACACACACACACACACAAATATTGCTTGGACTACCTTTAAATGGACTTGCTTCTTGTGTTTGAAACACTTGTGTGCATGAGAATGTCATTTGCTAATGAATTTTAACAGCATATGTTATAAAACAAAATGAACAACCTGCCACAATGTGATATATGTAATATCATTTCATTAAAAAAAAAAAAAAACCCTTCCTCCTCCAAAGCCTGGGCAGAAATGTGCTGCAAAGAGTTATATGATTTCTTGTTTATGTTTTGCTAATGTTCATGTCTCCTTGATTACATAATGGTAGTAGCACTTGAGACCCCCACAGTAATGTAACTTAATTATAAGCTTTGTCACCACTCTCCTGTAAAATAGTACTGGACAGACACTCAGAGAGGCCCTTGCCTCCTGTGTTTGTCCGCATATAAGAGCTTGTATTATCAGTGAATATAGATGTACTACATTTGCATGCCTTTTGGGTTTGCCTTAATTCTTACCTCATTTGCATACTATCAATCTGGAAAGAGCTATGTTGGATGAATGCAGTATAAAACTTAAAAGCCCTGCTATAAAAAAAAAAAAAAAAGTTTGTCAAGCATAGCACAGGCGCACACACACAAACCTAGGGGCCAAAGAGGACTTACGGTATCTATGGAGAAAACCCTAAATAAAATATTAACAAATGAAATCCACCAGAACATTACCATTACATTATAATACTACGACCAAGTGGAGTTTTCCAGAGACAGAAAAATTTACCACATTAACAGATCAAACAAGAAAAACCGTATGACAATCTCCATAGATGCTAAAATTGAATTTGATAGAATTCCACATTCACTTGTAAGAAAAGCTTGAAATAAAGTAGAACTAAAGGGCTATTTCCTTAACATAATTTTAGAAAATGGTATCCCAAGCAAAAAGGTACCATCACACTTAAGAAAAATTAAAAGTATTCCTATTTATGTCAGTGGTTATTCTTATTCTTATCTATCACCACTATTGTTTAAAATTTTTGAGGAAGTATCACAATATAATTAAACAAGAGAAAGAAATACAAAAATTGGAAAGAAACTCTAGGTATCATATTTGCAGATAGATCAGATACAAACTCTTGAGAAATTAAGACAGTCAATTGAAAAATGACTACAGACAATAAAAGTAAGGTGATGGAATATACAATAAATATAAAAAGGCAACAGATTTTTAAATTAAAAAAAACAGTTAAAAGGTACAATGGAAGAAAAGATGCCAACCACAAAAGCAACAGAAAAGATAAAATAACCAGGAATAAACAAAAAAATTTTAACATCTATAGTATAGTAAGAAAAATTCAAAATGCTCCCCTCAAGAATAAAGGAGAAGGCTACAGTACATGGAAAGACAAAATTTATTCTTGGTTAGAAAGAGTCAGTATTGTAAAAACTGCTCTATAATTATAACAAGAAAATTTGTTTCAAATTAGACAAATTATATTTTGGAACTAGTAAAACTGGTTATAAAATTCATATAAAAGCGTAAGTGCAAAAATATTCAGGATAATTCTGAAAAATTTGGGGCAATATGGGGAGATAAGCCCTACCTGACATTAGATACATTGTAACGCTGTAGTATTAACAAGAGGGTGGATTCATGCATGAATAGTCAGATGGAGCAATGGCGCAGAAGTCTAGAAACAGACCAAAACATCCAGCTTCTGAAGATAAGGGGACATGAGGTAGGGTGGAAAAGGGGCTATTCTTACAAATGCAGAACATGTACAAAGAGGTGCTCTCAGCTGTTCTACAACAAGGCCCACAGTGTGGCTGAAGAATCAGATCACTAATGTGCAATAATGCCTCATCATGGAAAATTTAAGAAAACTCACTTCTGTCAGGATGACATCATCATCCAGGTCCTCTTCTACATGTTGCTGAGGAGCCGGGGTGACCAGCATGGGAATCCCTTCCTCATCAGAGGAGTCAGATATGGTGATGGGCCCATCTCTGAGATTGATCCAGTCTATGGAAAGGCAGAGAACACTGTTACTGGGAGGACAGCACAATCACATTCAGTCCTCTAATTCAACTTTGGCCTGAAGAGGGTTAAGCCTAAAGTCAAATTCATGGTTACTAGTGTTAACTTACCTCCTCAAACAGCGTATGCACTCAGGCATTAAGAGCCATGTTTCCATACTGATTTCTGCCAATAATACACTTTGCAAATGGCTGGAGAAAAATCTGACAATTACTATGCTCAAGACTATCAACTTTTTCTTCTACGGGTACTTCATGGGGTTATGTCCTGATAAACCCATCATAAGTTGAAAATATTATAGATCAAAAACGCATTTAGTACACCTAACCTACTAAACATCATAGCTTAGCCTAGTCTACTTAAATGTGCCCAGAACACTTATATTAGCTCATAGTTGAGCAAAATCATCTAACACAAAGCTACTACATTAGTTGTCTTTCACAGTAGATTGATAATTCTAACAACCAACTGAACTGAGGGCCTGGAGGGCACATTATAAAGAATTTCCAGTTAAACATGGCAGAATGAATTGATTATTATCATCATCCCCTGAAATCCCAGGAGAATGACAGTAAAGGAACTTTAAAAAAGTATAAACCTCTGAATACAAAAAAAAGAGGAAAGAAGATGACAGCAGACCAGAGATTTCACAAAATTCTGGAGAACAGCAGATTCATAAGTGGCAAGTGCTTTAGCCGAAGACTCAAAACCACAGCCTGCAGAGTGGGGCAGCCAACCAGAACTGGCCTAATTCAGGCTGCAGAATCTCAAAAAAGCTCAGAAACTGGTGGCATAAGATACTATTGAGGGCAGAAATAAGAGGTGATTCAAAGTCTGTATTGCGAGCAAAGGGATTTCCAGATTTTTCTATACCACACAGCCACGTGACAAGCCACAGCCTACCCAGGCAAAAGACCAAGGTGAGTACAGGTGTAGATCTCTTTGGATTTATCCTTCTTGGGAGTTCATTTACGTCTTGGATGTGCAGATTGACATTTTTCATCAAATTTAGGAAGTTTTCAGCCATTATTTTTTCAAATATTTTTTTTCTGCCCCTTTTCTCTTTTTCTTTTCTCTCCTTCTGGGACTTTCACTACATATATGCTAGTAAGTTTGATGGGATCCCAAAGTTCTTTGAGGCTCTTTTCATTTTTCTTCATTCTTTTTTCTTTCTGTTCTACAGATCAGATAACCTATTAATCTACCTTCAAGTTCACTGATTCTTCTGCTTGCTCAGATATGCTGTTTATCAGATCTTTGGTGAATTTTTCATTTTAGTTTATTGTGCTTTTTACCTCTAGAATTTCCTTTTTTAAAAAAATTTCTCTTTACTGATGTTCTTTATTTCATGCATCATTGTCAAAATATACTTTGCTTTCCTTCTTTAAATGTGGTTTTCTTTAGTTCCTTGAGCATATTTATAACTGCTTTTATTAGGCTGTATGAGAACCCTTTCGGCCCTGCCCCATCATGGCGCTGGCTACCCTTCTCTTCCGCCTTCTCCTTCCCACCGGTGCTACAATACCTTCCCGCCGGCGCGAATCGCACGCCAATCAGCACAGGCTTCCTGCTCCTGGCCCCTTAGCAACGCAATCCATCCAATCCCCGAACGCCCCGTGCCCTCAGCAAACCTATCAGCTCTCTTCTAACCCTATAAAAGCAGATGTGCCCACTGAATAAAAAAACCTTCTCCGGCGAGGTTCCTTGCGTTTCTGTCTCATCCTTTAACTGGTGCTGAATTTTATTCCTTTCACTGGTGCCGAAACCCGGGAGGCGGGATTGTCCACTGTGGGCCCCATCTCTGTCTCAACCAAGGTGGCTCGCCCTCGTCCACCTTTTCGGGCGCTGGCTCTTCGCACTCAACACCGCTTCCACCCTTGGGTAAGTCTCCCTTATAGGGCTGCCACCCTCTTCTGGGCTACAGAGGAGCAGTTATCAACCAACTAGACTCCGATGCCCCTAAGAGATGTAAAGTTACACCCCATTAAGACCTTTACGGTTGTGGCGGACCCTCTGGCTATCTACTCCCTTCTCTCCAGGAGCTTTTGAGCGTGAGGGTTCAGGGTGGAGGCTCCTTTCTGCTTCTCTCTCTCTCTGGACGCTAAAACGGGTTCCAAAAATCCTAGTACTAGGTTCCTCGTGACCTCTGGCACCGTGCCTCCTGGGAGCTTGAAGTGTGGGTGACGACCCTCACTCTCCTCCTAATCCGGTTCCTATAGAACCTCCGTGGCTCACAAACTCCTCGGGGGATGCCTCCTGGATTTTGCTGACCCACTTCCGGCCCGGGGATTCATTTCCTCATTTTCTCTTCCTCTTGATTTCCTTATCTCTGTCCACTTCACAATGGGAGCCTCCTCATCCCTTCCTGAAACCTCACCCCTCAAATGCTTACTCAGAAACCTTACTGCACTCTCCCTTACACCAGATATTAAGCCAAAGCTCTTGATCAGATTTTGCACTCAAGATTGGCTCCAGTACTCCCTGGACAACCAAAACCATTGGCCTTTTGCGGGATCCCTAGACCCAGACCTCCTTCGCAACTTTTTTAACTACTGCCAGCGCCTCAAAAAGTGGAAGGAGATCTCCTATGTGGAGGCCTTTTGCCTCCTCAGACAAAATCCCCATCTTTGTTCTTCATGCTCTCTCTCCCAAGTCGTCCTGGCCTGTAAGTCTCCATCCCTTCTTGACCACCCGCATCCCTCCGCTCCCACTTCCCCCTCTGCTCTCCGCCATCTTCCATTTCAGCTTCCCCTTCCACTCCAATTCCACAGCTGCCCCCCGTTTCCCCTCCTCCTGCAAAACCTTTTAGTCCTCCACAGACTAGATCACAGGGGCTCCCTCCGGTCCCTCCCACTATTGAACTGCTTCGAGAGGTGGCTGGCTCAGAAGGGGTAATCAGAGTTCATGTACCTTTTTCCATCTCTGATCTCACACAATTAGAGAAGAAACTGGGCTCCTTTACCACTGACCCCACCACCTATGTTAGGGAGTTTCAGTGGATCCTGCAGGCTTACAGTCTCACACACCATAACATATACATGTTGATAGCTAACACTCTCCTTCCTGAGGAGCGAAGGCATGTGTGGGAATTGGCCCAAGCCCATGCAGATGAAACACACAGGACTAATCCTAATCACCCTACAGGTCCCAATGCAGTTCCAGAACAGGATCCCCAAGGGGATTATAACACCACTATTGGCATAAATTCCCGTGATGTTTTTGCTTCCTGCCTTGTAGCCGGCCTCAAACGGGCTGCTCGAAAAGTTGTAAAATTCCAAAAGGTGCAGGAAGTAATAGAGAAAAAGGAAGAAACCCCTTCCGAATTTTTAGACAGGTTAACCAAGGCCCTTCAACAATACACCAATCTAGACCCAGAAACCCCAGATGGTTGTCATGTTTTAATGACCTATTTCCTAGCCCAGAGGTACCCCGACATTAGGGCTAAATTAAAAAAGCTAGAGCAGGGGCCCGCTACTCCTCAGGCTGAAATTCTTATGGTGGCTTTTAAGGTTTTTCATAATAGAGAGGAGGAAAAGGAAC